TTTCTCTTTTTTCTTTACTTCAATTTCAACTTTTTAAGGGGTTTCACATTTATTGTAGGTAAGGCATAATTTAAGATAGAATTGATAAAAAACTCCAGATATTGCTACTTCCGCTTTTAATTATTTTTATATTTATTAGATGGTCATTAGTAAAAATGTTAAATTAGTATGCTTTGATGAATCTTGTAAAGGAGAGAGGTTATATTGTATTTAATGTATAAAAAATGGAATTAATGTTTCTCATCCTCAATATTAAGAAGAATTGCCTAAATTATTTGTACATATTTAAAGTATTGAAAAGGAATGTGATGATGTAATTAATAGGATGAATATATAAATGGATTTACTTTAACAAGAGTTCTATTTATTATTTGGGGGAATAAGTTCGAAATATCAAATATCTAAACAGTAGTTCTTAAATTTAAATTCTTAATAAATGAATTCTTACTTAGAATAAAGTGTACATTTTAGATCATTTGAATTTAAAATCATTTAATTATTATAACAATTCAAAAATGAATTCTAATTCTAAATATAAAAGTTATTGCATGAATTATAATTATCTGAATTAAGTTATTATCAAATATCTAACCTATACCTAACTAAATCAGAAGAATTATATTAAAAAGGTAATTAAAATATAATTTAGGATATAAACTAAGAATTTAGGATAATTCGAAAGATAAAAAACATTATGAGGTGATTATAATATTCGATTAAGCATTAAGTTTAAATTCAAAACATTAAAAAGCATTATTGTGTAAAGGTATAATTATATTTTTTAATGTATTAGCGGATAGTTTAAGAAGTCTTTGTTAATATGATGATGCAATCATTTTGGAGATAAAGCTTTATAAGTAAATCCAAAGCATTGTTTTTCATTACGTACTAAAAGTACTCATCATATTTGTTCATTAAAGGTGCATTATTCATATAAAAATACCTTTTTTTTAATTTACGAAGTTTATAAAAGTATAACGAAGCTATGGAAGTGATTGATTAATCTCTTTGATTCATTAAAACCAAAAGGTTGATGGATCCTATAAATTATAGGTTATTATTTAAAATAAAAGAATAAGATATATTATTGAATACAAAACTAGAATAAATATTAATATATAGATAAAAAACACATTATCAATATTTAAATATTTCTCTTTGTTTAAATCATCTTATAAATAATGGATTTAAATTGAGTACATTCTTATAAAGACTTTTAATATATAAAACTATTTTATAATAATATTAATATAAGAAAGTAGAAATAATATAGATTCTGAATAGTTACAATAATATTCAGTTTGAGGATCAATAAAAAATGATTGTAAGCATTAAATAAACAAAAGTTAATAAATTAATATTTATTTCTTCAAACTTCTATTTATCATGGTATTTATTATAAAATTACATCTAAATGATCTGTCATTTATTATCAATCTTTATTAATTATTTATTTTGCTATAATTTTACATATTCTCTAAATTCTCTGTTGTTATTCCAAGATCAGATAAGGGTATGCCTGAAAAATTAATAATCTCAAAAAAACTTATATACTTTATGTAGTGCCTGAGTATTTACTTTTCCAAGTGAAAAAATTATATAATCCATTTTGTTAAAATATTAATTGGAAATTCAAACTAATAGTTTATTTTTATTAGCCTTTGTTACGAATATGGTAAGAATCCATTGTTAGTCTAAGTAAAATTGGGATTTCTACTATGCAAACTTTCAAATTTAATAATTCTAAGGATTGTAATGAGTTATTTATTTACAATGTATAATTTGACATTTTGTAGATAGACTGTTTAAATCATTACTCTGCATATGTTCTAATATATATAATAAAATTAACTTCCTTAGAGAAAACTGAAAAGAATTGTTTTTAGGATTCAAAACAAATTTTATAAATATCTGAATTTCTCTATTCTCAATTGCAAAAGTGGCCTCAAAAAATCGAGAAGAGCATTCTAATCTAATTAGATTCCTTACTATTTTCCTACTTGGAATATTAAATAAATTTGATGAATAATAATTTTAATCTTAAATTTTTGATTTAATTGTTCAATTTTCCTTATGATATGATTATGTAGCTTATTAAAAAATCAACAAAGCATAAACTATGATAAGTAAAAAAAACATCAAAAGCTATTCAAAATTGTTTATAACATTTAGAAAATTATTGAAAGGTAGATTAGTTCCAATACAATATTTTCATGTAACAATCCAAATACAATAATGATCATAGATATTTAAGTAATGGTGAAAAGCTTTTGTGACACTTCAAATTCACATACTATGAGTATTTAATAGGCTAAAAAACATATTTAAATCTCACTCTAAGAATTAAAAGAAAATCTGATAAAAGTGCAATACCCTTCATTAATTCTATTCTCTCCCCTAATTTGATTGTGGACTTATAACTCTAAAACTTATGTAATAATAGGCTACAAAAATTCTTTTAATAAAGATGTTTAGAAACTCAGTTTTTTGTTTTCACTATAATTTTTCTGAGCAAGTACACTCTTAATTTTTCAAAGGTTAGAATTAGCTAATTTAATATACATTAATAAAGTAGGTTTTTGGAAAATCTAANAATATTTAAATATTTCTCTTTGTTTAAATCATCTTATAAATAATGGATTTAAATTGAGTACATTCTTATAAAGACTTTTAATATATAAAACTATTTTATAATAATATTAATATAAGAAAGTAGAAATAATATAGATTCTGAATAGTTACAATAATATTCAGTTTGAGGATCAATAAAAAATGATTGTAAGCATTAAATAAACAAAAGTTAATAAATTAATATTTATTTCTTCAAACTTCTATTTATCATGGTATTTATTATAAAATTACATCTAAATGATCTGTCATTTATTATCAATCTTTATTAATTATTTATTTTGCTATAATTTTACATATTCTCTAAATTCTCTGTTGTTATTCCAAGATCAGATAAGGGTATGCCTGAAAAATTAATAATCTCAAAAAAACTTATATACTTTATGTAGTGCCTGAGTATTTACTTTTCCAAGTGAAAAAATTATATAATCCATTTTGTTAAAATATTAATTGGAAATTCAAACTAATAGTTTATTTTTATTAGCCTTTGTTACGAATATGGTAAGAATCCATTGTTAGTCTAAGTAAAATTGGGATTTCTACTATGCAAACTTTCAAATTTAATAATTCTAAGGATTGTAATGAGTTATTTATTTACAATGTATAATTTGACATTTTGTAGATAGACTGTTTAAATCATTACTCTGCATATGTTCTAATATATATAATAAAATTAACTTCCTTAGAGAAAACTGAAAAGAATTGTTTTTAGGATTCAAAACAAATTTTATAAATATCTGAATTTCTCTATTCTCAATTGCAAAAGTGGCCTCAAAAAATCGAGAAGAGCATTCTAATCTAATTAGATTCCTTACTATTTTCCTACTTGGAATATTAAATAAATTTGATGAATAATAATTTTAATCTTAAATTTTTGATTTAATTGTTCAATTTTCCTTATGATATGATTATGTAGCTTATTAAAAAATCAACAAAGCATAAACTATGATAAGTAAAAAAAACATCAAAAGCTATTCAAAATTGTTTATAACATTTAGAAAATTATTGAAAGGTAGATTAGTTCCAATACAATATTTTCATGTAACAATCCAAATACAATAATGATCATAGATATTTAAGTAATGGTGAAAAGCTTTTGTGACACTTCAAATTCACATACTATGAGTATTTAATAGGCTAAAAAACATATTTAAATCTCACTCTAAGAATTAAAAGAAAATCTGATAAAAGTGCAATACCCTTCATTAATTCTATTCTCTCCCCTAATTTGATTGTGGACTTATAACTCTAAAACTTATGTAATAATAGGCTACAAAAATTCTTTTAATAAAGATGTTTAGAAACTCAGTTTTTTGTTTTCACTATAATTTTTCTGAGCAAGTACACTCTTAATTTTTCAAAGGTTAGAATTAGCTAATTTAATATACATTAATAAAGTAGGTTTTTGGAAAATCTAAGTCCTGTTGAATTTTGGAATTCTATGTGAAACTTATTATTTTTTTTATCTGAAATGATTGCAATATATTATTTCAGCCAAGGTTTAATAATAACTTGTATTTTATTGATAGGTAAAATGTTGCTAATTTTACAATTAATATTTAAAATCAAAACAGTATATTGGAAAATAACACAAAATAATTATTATTTAATCAAATGAATAAATTCAATCCTCTTTTTTCAATTCATTGCATCTTTAAAACTTCTTTTTTTTAAGAACTTCTATAAGAGTGTAATTCTTATAATTATGATTGGCTTTAGGTTCATTAGATAGGCAAAATTAAACTTGATATTATTTTTACAATCAATCAAGACATTTTGTTAATAGTTAAATATTAGCATTTGTAGAAGTCTTCGGGATTTTAATTATTGAATTAAAGTTCTACGAATAAAGCCATAGCTATAGGAAGCTTTAAAAAAAGTGGGTTAGTGGTCTGTTTATTGTGATTAAATAATATTAATTGTTACTGGAATGAGGATAGAAAACTGAAGTATAAAAATCTATTGTATGGAGAAAAGATTTTAATTAGAAAGAGGAAAAGTGGAGCTATTTTATATAATTTTCTAAAATATTAAGCCTGTTATATAATTAAATTTGAGTTTAGTATGGTTTTTAAACAGATTAGAATTATAATTTAGGAAATAATAATTTGGAGTAAATTATATTTCTTACAATCGTAAATAAAATATGTGTAGTTCGGAAACCATATTTAAATTTGAAAATAAATTCATATACTTCAAATATATATCAAAATTTTTTAAGGTTGATTAAGTGATTACAAAAATTTAGAAACATGGCAAATTTAAATTGTATTAAGGTTTATGTTTACGGATTATAAGGGTTATTAGAGAAGTATACATATATAGGAAAATAGAGAGGCTGTAAATAGAAGTAGAACTTTATGATAACATAATGCTTTCAGAGAATTTTTTTTCTTTTTCCTAAGTTAATACTTGTAACATTAAAATAGCATAATGTTAATTTTTTTTAATCTAGAATTGGAAAAATAATAAAAAGAGTGGGCCTTGAAGCCTATGTTTAGAAATTCCACTATTAAGCTTTTTTGAATGTGAATAATATCTTAATAAGACAACCCTGATAAAATTTGAATGGTGAATAAGAAAGGTTATCTGAAGATTGAGCTAAATTAAATTGATATCGTATCAAGGGTGTGTATGAATCAAATATATGATTTGATATAAATTGTGTCTTTCTAATATCCGACGTAAATCATCATTGATAAGGCATAAAATTGATTACACTGTAATAAAAGTTTTCAAAAATTAACAACAAGTTCGTCTTTACAATTCATAACACAGGGCTAATGGATTTATATTAGGGAGGGTACACGCTCCATAATGTGACTAATCCATCTTAAGGTCTTTGGACCAACGTAATAGTTGTTTCTGTATCTCAAAGGGCATGGGCATATTTTGAAAACGAGAATATGGCTCCAAGCTGTTCAAGAAGTTGAATATACCTGCACTTTCAAAATGACTCTCAACTTCAAGTCTAGAATATGAGTTTTCATTCTTTAACTAGTTTATTAGTGCTTATTCTCTTCAGTTATTTGCTTTTTAAAAATTAAGTGCTTCTGTTGTCCTGGTTTTTGGAAAAAATAGGCTAGTCTTTTGCTCAAAAAGGGTTTCAAAGATCATCAGGTCTGAAAGCCCTCTTATGTATAAATTTGTCTAATATTTTAAACATTATCTATTTCAAAAATAATAAAATTCATTAATTTTACGGAGGAAATGCTTTGTCATTAATGTTTTGGAGAGTCTTTTCAGAGCGGGACGGTGATCAGTAGGTGAGGGGAGGTTCAAAGATCTGAACTCAGAGTCCATGTTTGGAGTCGGGAGTGACTCTAACCATAGGATTGACCCCCTTTTGTTGACTGACCAACAGACCAATA